TCCAGGGGGTCTCAGGACCTCTTCTGTCCTACACAGACATTGTACAACATGGGTGCACTCACATACATGCAGGTAATGCACTCATACACATAAAATAAAACAGGATCGCACACACTGCCTTTCCTTCAGTACTCACACTATTCCCAAACCCAGCAATACTTTCAAGGACTACTGATGTAGACTCTGGTATTAAAAGAAAACACCATGAGGGCAATAACAGACGAACACAGAAAATATTATCGGTGCTACTGAGCCAGAGGAGGAAGGTGGGAAGAGGCTGTGTGAATGTTTGAGCCAAATCTTGAAAGGGGAATAGATGTTTGCGAGACAATCAAATGAGGAACGGGCATCCCAGGCTACCTCAGATAACACAATGTGCTGCCCTGTTTCCCCTTCAAAACAGACAGACTCATTCCCCAGCTGCTGGGAGCTCTGCCAGCAGCAGTCCCCAGCTTCCCACCTTTCTTGTAGTTGCTTCAACTGAAAAACATCACTCCAGGCAAGCTCACGCCCTTTCCCCAAAAGTCAGAAGTGGACAGATGGTTAGTAAGGGCTGTAAAGGCCCAGGCTTTTACTTCAACGTGAGCAAGTCAGAAGATCCACTATACATTTAGAGCTCCAGGAGTGAGTGGTTGAGACTTATGTTAAGATATGTCACCACCTAGCCTCCAACCCACTCCTGTTCAGTCTTGATTTCTTCCCTACCTACCCCAAGAAAACTCCACAACAAACCTCTGCATGCTGAACACAAAGAGTCTGTTTCTTTGGGAGCCCATCCTAAGTTATGATACCCAAAGTGGTCCACGGAAGTAGATATTAGGTAAAACAGGGACTTGACTTCAAACTGTTGCCGGAATAGCAATGTCGACACCATGCCCAGCAGTCAGGGGAGCACAGGAAGTTGCTTGTCCATGGTACCTGTGTGTCTGTTGAGACTTTAGCTCATGTTGAGCAGTGATGGGATATCAGTGGAAGAGAATGCACTAGTAAGTATGAACTGCCAGGAATGTAATTTAAAGGACAGTTCCATTAGGTAGCTGTGAATAAACAAAATTGGTAACGAAAGGATGATAGACTCCAGTGGATCACTCAAAGCTAAATGTGGAAACCAGAGGATGGGACTGGAATGTATAAAGAAGTTTCCATCTTGAAACCATAGTTCAGAGAAAGCTAGCACCAGGGCCAGGGTAGATCATAATAGTCACAGACACTTTAGGTTCCAGACTTGATGGAGTCATAGGGCAGGATTCACATTTTAGACTAAAGTAACTAAAAATTCCAGACAAAATATATGAAAGTAGTATTTTTAAAACAGTGAGCATAAAAAAAAAACAAAACCCTGAAAGGGAAATTTATATCTTGAACTGAGTGAAAACTGAGGAGAATTACCTACCAAAATCTGTGAAAAACATCCAAGACATTTCTGGAAGGGAAATTTATGGCCCTAAGTGCCCATGGTAAAAAGAGCATACAAACATCAGCTTCAAGATAATAGGAAAATAGCAAATCAAATCCAAGCCAGACAGAAGAAAGTAAGCAATAAAGCTTCTAACAGAAATCAGTGACACAGAAATCAGAAACATAATAGGAAAAAAGATCAATAAAACTTAAAGTTGGTTCTTTAAGAAAATTAAGTCAGTAAAAGTCTCCAGATTTACCAGAAGAGAAGGCACAAATTGCCAATTTTAGCAATGAGAGGTGATACATCTACTGTGCAGATATCAAGGGGCAATAGAGAATACTATGATATTATGAGAATAAATTCAAGAAGGTATATTGGGTAAATTATTTTATGAGATCAAACTGCAAATCTTAATCAAGAAGACTGACTAGGCTAAGGAGGCCTCCAACTTCTCAAGTAACTGGATACGGAGTAACAAACCTTCCAAACAAAGGAAACTTGGGCACAGATGTTTCCTTTGATAAATCCTACCAGGCATTTAAGGAAAAATATGCTGTTCCTCCAAACTCTTCTAGGAAACCGAAGGGATGTTAGCAAGCAGAAGGGCATGTGTGTGGGAACAGCACTGGGAGAATGGCTCTCTCCACTTGAAGCTCTCAAACCTGGCCACTCTGGGTTCCTTGGGAGGAGATGCCATGTGCTGTGGGACGCAGATATCCTCCAGGATTTCTCCCAGCCTTGCCTCAGTCACCTCACCTGAAAATGGGTACGTCAGCCACTGCTGCCTTAGAAGGCTGTTGGGGGAGAATGAATGCATGGAAGACATCTGAACCTGGCATGGTACATAAAGGCACTCATGGGAGGAGCATCCTGTCTCATGGCCTGGAATTTGGTTTAGGCCACTCTCTTTCACTCAGGCTCTGACATGAAGGCACCTGAAGAAAAATTCTAGTTTCCCAACTGATCTTTTGCAGATTTCCAGAGCAGAAAGAAACCCCACAGCATCATCTTCTCATTCATGTTCATTATTCTTCTCCCCCTCTCCTTATCCCCACTCCCTCCCTCCCTCCCCCTTCTCTCTCTCTCTCTCTCTCTCTCTCTCTCTCTCTCTCTCTCTCTCTCTCTCTCAGTCATTCTCCCTCTCCCTGCCTTCCCCTCTTGGGGGAGGTTGAGAGGATTGGATCCAGGGACTTCCAAGACTCTGCAATCCTAGCTCTGAAGAGGCAGAGTCGGATTCCTGCAGCTTACTGGCCAGCCTGTCTAGCTGAATGGATGAGCTCTCTGTTCAGTGTGAGAGACCATGACTCAAAATACAAGGGGGGACAGCAACTGAGGAAGGCAACAGATGTCAGTGTCTGGCCTCCCACATGTGAATTCGAACACACATGTGCACACACATGTATACACATATACCACCCCAAATCTATTAACACTTTTACAGTGATAACTCAGAAGTCAGATGGAACTGTATACAACTGCCATTTATGGATATCAAAAACATCTTGATAACCAGAACGATTTGATTGAATCTAAAAGCACCTGCCCATCCCATCACCTTGCAAACATGTGGAATACTTTTGAACACTTTTACACTTCCTACATGTTCTAGTAAGCTTTCTATTGCTGGGATAAAAAACACTGGACAAAACAAATTTGAGGAGGAAAGAGTTTATATCTCCCAGGTCACAATTCATCCCTGAGGGAAGTCAGGCAGGAGCTGAAGCACAGACCATGGAGAAACGCTGCTTGCTGGCTTACTCCCGAGGCCTGTGCTCAGCCTGTTTTCTTATGCTACACAGGACCACCTGCCCAGGGAGGCACTGCCTACAGTGGGCTGGGTCCTCCCACATCACCCAGCAATCAAGAAAATCCCCACAGACATGGTCGCAGGTCAATCCATTGAAGGAATTCCTCAACTTAGGCTCCTTCCACCCAGGTGTGTCAGGTTGACAACTGAAACTAGCCAGCACACTAGGTTTGTAAGATAAAACTTTGCTGTGAAAATGAGGAAGCTGAGACCCAAAGGTGAGGTTGTAGATCAAAGCCAAAGAACTCTCAGGTGGTGGGAGCGAGGGGTGTGTGTCAAACCCTGGCTCTGGAATTGCTGCCCTCCTCTACTAGGCAGCAGCACCTTCCTGTAGGTCTGAGGTGGTGGCACCCAGATGGTGACAGGCCTAGGACTGCACAGCATGAGCAGCCCTCTGAGTCCAAGGCCCACCCAAGCTTTCCGCATTACCTCAGTCCACAGTGCCCAGTTCACAGATGGAAAACCAGGCCTTCCTCTGGTCAGCTGCCAGCAGCTGGTGGAGGGCAGGGTGGGCACCTGAAAGGAGCTGAGGAACCTACAGGTACCTAGGGAAGCCCTGAGAGGCCCTGAGGGGATTTGAGGGGACCTGAGGGGACTTGAGGAGATCTGAGGGGTCCTGAGGGGACCTGAGGGAGGGGACCTGAGGGAAACTGAGGGGATTTGAGGGGTCCTGTGGAGACATGAGGGGTCTTGAAGGGACTTGAGGGGTCCTGAGGGGAACTGGGGGGATTTCACGGGTCCTGTGGAGACATGAGGGGTCCTGGGGGGCTTGAGGGGTTCTGTGGAGACATGGCGATCCTGAGGGGACTTGAGGGGGACCTGAGGGGACTTGAAGTGTCCAGAAGGGACTTGAGGGGTCCTGAGGAGAACTGGGGGGATTTGAGGGGCCCTGTGGAGATATGAGGGGTCCTGGGGGGACTTGAGGGGAACTGAGGGTACTTGAGGGGTCCTGTGGAGACATGGCGGTCCTGAGGGGACTTGAGGGGGAGCTGAGGGGACTTGAAGGGTCCTGAGGGGAACTGGGGGGATTTGAGGGGTCCTGTGGAGACATGAGGGGTCCTGAGGGGACTTGAGGGGAACTGAGGGGACTTGAGGCGTCCTGAGGGGAACTGGGGGATTTCACAGGTCCTGTGGAGACATGAGGGGTTCTGGGGGGCTTGAGGGGAACTGAGGGGACTTGAGGGGTCCTGTGGAGACACAGGGGTGCTGAGGGGACTTGAGGGGGACCTGAGGGGTACTGAGGGGAACTGAGGGGACTTGAGGGGAACTGAGGGGACTTGAGGGGTCCTGTGGAGACACAGGGGTGCTGAGGGGACTTGAAGTGGCCTGAGGGGACTTGAGGGGGACCTGAGGGGACTTGAGGGGTCCTGAGGGGAACTGGGGGGATTTGAGGAGTCCTGTGGAGACATGAGGGGTCCTGAGGGGACTTGAGGGGAACTGAGGGGACTTGAGGCGTCCTGAGGGGAACTGGGGGATTTCACAGGTCCTGTGGAGACATGAGGGGTTCTGGGGGGCTTGAGGGGAACTGAGGGGACTTGAGGGGTCCTGTGGAGACACAGGGGTGCTGAGGGGACTTGAGGGGAACTGAGGGGTACTGAGTGAATCTGACCTGTCTTGAGGGGGCCTTAGGGGACCTGAGGGACTGGAGAGGACTGAGGAGTCCTGGCGGACCTGGCGCGGGGAGAGGACCCGGCGCGGGGAGGACTCGGCTGGCTTGGCTGGAGGAGGGGAGCTCTGGCCGGTGCAGGGCTGACCCACGAGGGACACAGACCGCGGAGACGGGTTGCTTACTTCGGCCCATGGCGCTTCTCTGGATGGGGTCAGGCAGCCTGCAGGATTGCCTTCAGCCCTGGCAGCGGCGCTGAGCACTTGGGAGCGGAACCCGGGAACCATGGCAACCGGAGACTCTATGGCGGCCGAGGGAGGCCAGGCGGCGCGGTGCTACTCTGCGTTTCCTGACCTCCGGGAGGAGCAGCAGAGACGGCACACCTAGTCCTGTTCCTCACTTGCACCCCGACCTTCCCAGGACTGCTTCCCTCTCAATAACCAGTGTCCACGGAGATCACAGAATCTCGGGCCGCTCTTCCTAACGGCACCTGCCCCTAAGCGTGTTTTCTCTACTTAGTCTCTATTTTATTTAACTTGTGCAAAGCCAGGAACATCAGGATTGGCCTCCGCTGTATTTACTAGCGACCTGACTTTAAACACCCTTAGCCTTCGTTTCCCTGTCTGTAAGATGAATACTAACCTCAAAAGAGCCTTGTGACACTTAAATGAGATATACGAAAAAAGCACTTTTTTATAATTGAGAATTTAAGATACTTTTTTTTTTATTTTGAAAAAGTTATTTTTTTCCCACATATTCCAAATATGTGTCTTACAGAAAGGGTCAATATGAGTTAGAAAACATTCTACTGAAGGGAACCATTTAGACACTGGGAATCATTCTAATAGAAAAAGCTAACATCCATCTACACGAAGCTATGTTCCACCAGAAAATTTCAGCATCCAAAGTGCAAAGACAGAAACTGGCTTTTCTTGCCACATGAAAATATTGACAATCTTAATTGTTAGCTGAGATGTCAAACAGACAGCGTACTGACCTTTACAATAGGCTCTCCTGGACAAAGGAAGAGAGGGCCAGTCACTAGAATGAATTCAGCTTTAGAAGAACAAACTGGCTTTGACCCCAATCAACTCCCTAGTCCAGCCAGAGGCCTATTAGAGACAGGTACAAGGTATAGTATCATAGGATTGTGGTACTTTATACTACTAAGACCTAACCAATCCAAATGAAAGCTAAGCATACTTGAACCACCAGTGCTGTCTTCAATCCATCCCTTTTCATGCTGGCCCCATGCCGAGCTCATTTCATCAAGGAGGAAGGGATCAGACTCTAGAAGGAGCTGTCCTGTAGTCTCTGTGCTGCCTTTCCTTACCCTCCCCCTTTTACCTCTTGTCCTGAAACAACTCGGCTTTACCCAAGAGGTAGAATTTCTGTCGTTGTGTAAGTGACACCAAAGGAAAGGCCCTCCATGAGTAGTATTTGGCTTTAAACCAAAAAATTTCCCCTCAAAAATCATAACAAATTCCATATTATCCCCTTCTCCCATCTAAAAACTCCCAGCTAGTATAAGGTGCCAACATTGTTATTAGAGGTAAGAGGGAGATATATAATAAATATAATAAAACCCTCATACACAATTAAACTTTAAAGCATGGAAAATGCTAAAAGTAGTAATGTATAGAGGTAGCTCTAGAGCAGAGCAAGCAGGTGTACCCTTTCTTACCAATAGGCAAACATGACTTCACTGCGGTATGGAGTAGGAAAAACTGCCTTGTTGACTTAAGTTGGTGGCAAACTTGCTTTGGCTCCCAAACCTAGGAGTGTTCTTAGAGAGATTGTAGAATCTCTGTGATAGGGAGCTTAATAAAGGGGTCTTGACAAGCTGGAATTCAGGAGCGGTCACTGGCCCCAAGAAGCTCATTTTTACATCTGGCGTCCCAGGCGTTGAGCCCCTGTTGCTGTGCTGGGTGTCAGTGTTCTCTTGTCCCACCATCAGTAACTGATTCCAGTACTCCAGGGGCAGTGAAAGCAGGTGCTCCACCACCTTGAATTGATGCTTGATGTCCTGGAACATTGTCACTGGGTCTGGATTAGGCACAGCATGGAACTATCATGGGGCCAAAGGCTTTAGCTAGATTGGCAATATCCATTTTAGTTGTGATGGACCTGATTTCCTTCGACTCCTAGTCCAAGATGGCAGTGTCTCAATAGTAGACACAGCTTCAATGGCCCCACCATCACTGGGAACCGTCATTGTAGTTTTTGCAACTATGTATTCATTCCCCTGGTCTACAGGTTTTCTTTACAGGCTCAGGAGGGTCACCAACAAACTGCCACTGCTGGAGTGCCTCTTTTCTCTTTTCTTCATTTTGAAATTGTTCACCAAGGAAGAATCCCAGTCCAGTGAATCCCAACAAACTGCCGCTGCTGGAGTGCCTCTTTTTTCTTCATTTTGAAATTGTTCACCAAGGAAGAATCCCAGTCCAGTGAATCATCAGTCTTGTCAAAGCTGATATCTGATAAAATGGAACCAGATTCATCAATGGTTGACAGTTTATTGTTCCCAGAAATTGCCACTGGATGGTTGGCCTCAGTTGAGAAAAGCCAGAGCCGATTTTGGTCCTTGCTTAGCTGAATGCTGCCAGATGTGTCACACATGAGTGTATCTCAAATCAGCTGAATCTGTCCTTCCAGTTTTGCAGTTTCAGCCTCAGCTTACCGACTCCGTTTGATCTCTCCATCCACTTGATTACGAGCATGCTTCATTCAGCTCAACATCCAGGGTGCTATGCTCAGTCTCTGCTTTCTCAGATCTTTGAATTTCCCCAATTCGTGGTCTGTTCTCTGCCACTTCTGGAAATCCTCAAAGTCCATCACCGCCTGGATGAATTCAAGGATTTCATTTCCTTCATTGATAATCTCCAGCGTACAAGCTGCTCAAACAGAGTCCACAAGTTCACCATTGCAGCGTCCATCTTTAGCTGTTGATGCTTCGCCAGCTCCGGGCCTCTCTAAGGGCAGCGTAGAACCACGCCGCCAGATCCGGTTCAAAATCCTGTAGCAGCCAATCACAGGGAAAATCATCCCTTTTCCTTGCCCTATGCGAGGACGCATAGCGCATAAATCTTTTGCCTTTTAAGATACTTTTTAAAAAACAGGCTCAATATAAATTGTTACCGTTGAATTACATCCTTTAAAAACCGTAGTGCAATGCTAACTTCCTGCAATTCTATTTTCTAAACACACCACCCATTGTCCCCTCCACTTTCCCTGTGCAGCATCCTGTTAACTAAAGCTCGGGTGTCCCCTTTCTACAGGGCTGTGTCCACGCCTGGCCTCTCCTCCAGACCCTCTTCCATCAGCTCTGCCCCTTGTCCTCAAATGTTCAGATACTCACATTTTAATGTGTTATCACTAGAATTGTGTTTATGTGTTATTGCAAAACTAAATATTACTGTACTCCATTCCTTCATGATGCCGTTTTTGAAAAATACCTCTCAATTAAAGTAATAGAATGTGTGGGTCTTGATTTGTGTATCATGTTTGCAATCTAAAAGAAATTTCATAGAGCAAAATGCAAAGAAGTTTATGAGTCCAGGTGGTACCTGTTAAGCATTTGCTATTGGCCATCAGGCTTGGCCAGGTGGAGACAGACCAGGGCATGGATGTGACAGAGAGGCAGGAAAGTCAAATGGTGTGAAGGAGGGTCAGGGGATGCTGATCAGTTTTGTGATGAGAGAGCTGTACAGAGGGATTTTGAAGCGATAATGTCTCACAGGCCAAAAGAACTGAACTGAATGGAAGTAGTGGGATTTTAGACACTATGTTCCCATAGTAGGAGAAATATATTGGAGCTCCAGGGAGACTCCCAAAAGCAATCAAAGTATAAACTAAGGTGACATCCACTTCCTCTACACAAAAGTCTCTTTCTCATTTCCCTGGCTTTGTTTATTTTTGGTTTTTGCTTGGAAAGCATGACAGGGGGCAAAGATTACAAAGCTGTGTTATTGGAAACATGATTCAAATCCATGTTTATCTCTGTGTGTCACTGGGCAGGCAATTCCATCTCTGAGCCATAACTTTCCCATTTCCACCTGCAGACGACATACTGGCCATTATCTCGGCTTCTGAGAGCTGAGCATTGACATCTAATTACTCATAAAGATGAAGTGCCAAGGGTAAAAGGAGAGATTAGCAAATGCACCTGTGTGTTTTGACAGCAAAGGGTTTATGGAAGCTAAAAGTACAGTTCTCAGGGAACACTTATAGGGGGTATTTCAGGTAGAAAAGTTAGTTTCTGAGCTAGCAGACACATAAGATCACAGTCTTGATACAAAGGACTTGGAACTCTAGAAAGTTCTCAAGAGCTTTGGTAACTCAAGCATCCAATATGTTGGCTCTGAGCTTCTGTTCTCACATGTACACCACCTCACTCTCGATTATTCCATCTCACTCTGAAACCCTTCGGTTGTCTCAGAGGCTGCTATGTTTTGATTCCCTTAAGAATTCATCTTGAAACTTATCTCTGATGCAACAGAAGAGTTGTGGTCCTTAGAAGGTGATTGCATCATGAAGGTGGATTAGGTGCCCTCAAAGCAGTTTGACAGAAGGGTGTAGCTCCTTTTCTACCTGTCTCCCCCTTCTCAACCTGGCTATCCCTTTGGCCATATAAAGGAATATACTCTTCCCCATGAGAGGACACAGGGACAATATATCATTTTGGAAAGAGAGACATAGAACCTGCTTGTCTTGATCTTGGATTTTCCAGATCCAGGACCATGTGACATTAAATTGTGCTCTTCAGAAACTGCTCAGACTCAAGTATTGTGTTATAGAAGCACAAGAGACAAAAGCAGGGCCTTGGAATTTTCCTGTGAATTTTTATGCCTGTGGGAATGAAGTGTTTCATTCACTCATTCATTCATTCATTCATTCATTCATAAGCAATCAAATAATGGAGCTGCTGTTTAATTAAAAAATCTAATGTGAGCTGGGCATGGTGCTGTAATCCCAGCACTCGGGAGACAGAGGAAGAATGATCTCTTTGCAACTGAGCCCAGCCTTGTCTACATGGTGAGTTCCAGGCCAGGTGGGGCTACAGGTAGACCCTGTCTCAAAAATAATCTAATGTGTAAAAATCTCTTAGATGTTTTTAAGCACTGTCTGCTCAACATTGTTCATATGCCTTGAGATTTCTAACTCAGCTCTTACAGAGGCCCTCAGATATAGATTATGAGCAGCATATGATGGATAAGGAAACAGGATCCCACTGAGATTTTATTACTGATCCCAGCAAAGCAAGCCAAGATTTTATGTACAAACCCG